AAAAAAAAAACAAAAAAAAAAAAAACAAAAACGCCGAGTGCCTCAGGCCAGAACTCTGAGTCCCTGAGGCCCTGAGGCCAGAGGCCTAGGGGTCCTTTGCTGTGAAACTTGGCAAAATGCTGTATTTTTATTTTTGCTGGCAAACTACCGGAACCCGATAAAGCTGCAACGAAACATCTATTTTTGCAAACGAAACTTCGAACGGACGACATTTTTGCTGCCAAAATTCGAAACACCAATATTTTTGCTATTAACCCTTGATTGATTGATTGATTGGTTGGTTGGTTGGTTGGTTGGTTAGTTGGGTAGTTGATTGATTGATTAATTCAGCGTGATTGATTGACTGAGGGAGAGAGAGAGAGAGATAGAATGACAGGGAGAGAGACAGACGGAGACTCAGACCACATTTGATCTCCCGTGGCCCTTTGCTGTTTGGTCGGTTGGTCTTCTTCTTCTGCAGGATGCCTTAAGGAGGTGCAGATGCCATTAAGTGGCACTTCGTGCAGCTTGAATCTGTGGGGGCTCTGAAAAAAAAAAAAAAAGAAAAAAAAAAAAAAAAAGGGGAACCCCCAAGGCTTTTCTGTTTTTTTGTCGTCTTCAATGCGTTTGCAAGTTTGCATAGCACTTTGTAATTGGCAGCATTTGCACATTAAAAAAAAAAAAAAAAAGGGACACATGCACGTATCCGGACAGGATCCGCACATGCAATTTCGGAGACGTCTGGATTGACCGTTGATCACTGGGAAGCCGGACGTTTGGATCAAACCTGGAAATCCGGATCCCGGTGTCCGGACCCGGACTCTAGTTGGGACCTAATGTGTACGAAGATTGGGGCTAAGAGTGGAGCCAGTGTGCACCCAAGTTTTGGGACCCAATATTTACGAAGATGGACTAGTGTGGAACCAAGTATGGACCAAGTACCAAGTATGAACCAAGTGTAGACCAAGTGGGGATAGAGTGTAGACGGAAGTGCAATAGATAAAGCAAAGCTTCGTGTGTGATAGCTGAATGGTGGATGGGCTGGGATGCTACCGTAGTCCACCAGCAAAGAGTCGAAGAGCAGTGAAATCTGCTGTTGTAATAGTAACGGGTGAGGAAAGCAAATTGAATAATGGTAGCAAGTTAAATCACCAGTACTAAAAAAATAATAAAAAATGAAATAAAAATAAAAACTAAATTAAATTAATTTTTTTTTTTTTTAAATCACCAGTGCTTCCCGAAGTCGGCCGCGACGTGCTGGGCCGAACGGGCCTGGTGGTCGCGGTTCAAATTCTTTCAAGTGGAAAAATGCTGTCGCTCTATTTTTGGCCGCTGCTGATGTATGGGTGCGGTACTTTTTTTTTTTTTTTTTTTTTTTTTTGGGCGTTAAGAAACGGCCCCACCGGTGTTAGTGGTGCTGATAAGAGCAGACACCACTAGCACCTGGGGAGAGGATCCATCTATTAGTGGGGAGCATCACCTGCTGGAAAACGGGTCTTCGGGTAATTCGCTGGACCCGAAGTACTGGTGGGGTTTAATGTGGGCATTCGTCCTTTTACCTTGCGCATGAAATGACAAGGAATGGCAGCGGTAGGCTATCATAATAAGAAGATTGATAATGACAGCACCTGAAGATGGCAAGTGTGCTATGCCTCTGACGACACCATGCCTCATTTTATGCTGTTCGATATCTCTTTTGCATGTACTGAAATTAGGCGCAGTACGTGATTATGCGCAAGATGTGACAACGAGTTCATACTAAAGGCCAGGGTTTGTCAAAGAAGAAGCAAGTATGGTTTAATCTTTGCAAAGAAGAAGCCAAGTATGGTTTAATTAATCTTTGCAAAGAAGAAGTGCAAGGATGGTTTAATCTTCTCCTTGTCAGCGAGATCCTGCACCCGCTGGGGGGATGCCCAAATCGGAGCTAGGGTGGTTGATGGCTGGCGGAGGAACAGTGCACGAGGTGCGCATGATGTTGAGGAGGATTACAAGGGGAGGGGAGAAAGAGGAGAGGGAGAGAGGAGGGGAGAAGGGAAACAGAGAAAGGATAGAGTGTGTGGCGATGTTGGATCAGGACCGTCCATGAATGGTGAAGAGATATAGAAGGGACAGAGGAAAGAAGAGAGCCAGGGGAGCTTTCGAACGGAAGGAACTTTGTGCGGTCTATGAGGATGTTGATGTGCTGATAAAGTGAGGCGTGTTACAAGGAGAGAGAGAGAGAGAGAGAGAGAGAGAGAGAGAGAGAGAGAGAGAGAGAGAGAGAGAGAGAGAGAGAGAGAGAGAGAGAG